ACTACTATCAATTATTAAGTTTAATTGTTTTTAAACAGTGTGATTTACTGTATTGCAAGCTGCTTTGGGTTTTTTAACCATTTGTAATGTCCCTTGGGACCCTAAAAACAGAACAGACAAACAAACAAACAAACATACTTGATCTAAAATATAATTCCTTAACTTGAACCATTTTGCCATGAATGTCCTAAAAACGTTTGATCCTTGCTATTAGAACAAGTGCAGCAGAGTTGTCTTTAAGAAATGGGGAGGAATGGCAACAGACTGATAGCCTCTCTCTCAATGGCCACTGGTGGACCCTTGCCCTTAGGTCACTTCCTGCCTTTGCCCTGGTAGGCCTTAGGTCACCTTCTTCCTTAGAACAGTGGTCTCCAACCTTGGGCCTCCAGATGTTCTTGAACTACAACTCCCAGAACCCTTCACCATCACCTCTGCTGGCCAGGATTTCTGGGAATTGAAGTCCAAGAACATCTGGAGGCCCAAGGTTGGGGACCACTGCCTTAGAACACCTTCTTCTTCATCAGAGAAACAGTCTGTTACTTTGTTCCCCTCCATCTTCCACATCACTGTGCCTCCAAGTCAGCCCACAGCACACTTGCATACATAGAAGCCACCTTAGAAGCATCCATACTCAAATCTACATTTTCTCTCTTTTTAAATCCTGAATAGATTTCTTGGATCAATGTACTATTTCTTTTTTTCCCCTCTCTCTTATTATCCTGAGTTATTACTCTTGGTTTGTAGCCATAAATTCACCCTACTAACCTGATGTACTTTGCCACCATACAGTAATTAGCACAAATTCCCTGACTAGCCCGGTGAGGCATTGTATTAAGAACAACATTTTCACAGCTGGATTTCAGAACAGAGATGCTCCAGATTCAGACTTAGCGGCTCTCTTAGCTTTGCCACTTTAGAGAGACAAATTATGTTCCGTCCAATTATTTCTAATCACTGTGCCCTGAGGAAAGCTTCTGCAATTCTCACCGTATGCAGAGGGTTGTATTTGTATATAATAATTAACTAGAATTCTGGGTCAATGTTTACAGCCACACTAGCTGGGGAACTATGAGAACTACACTTCAGAAAAATAACTTTTTCAGCCTCTGAATTGCAAGAGTGGCATGGGGAAGATTATCTATTTTGCACTGTGATTTCACTAAAACTGGGGCAGGGGAAGGTTGGATGCTTGTCACTGGGGCCCTACTGCAAAATGTCACTGGGGCCTTGCTGCACATCCTATGCCCCACACAAATATCTAGCATGACATTTGACTGAATCATACTGAACTGGTTTCCAACACTGGTGACCAGACAGCATCTTTGACCACACATGAAAGTAGACAATAGGTAGACAATGAGCTTGGAGCAAGACAGTCTGTCAACATCTTGTTGCCACCTCCCACCATCTGCCGCTTGAGGCGACTTCCCCTCTCTGTCCCATGGCAGGGCTGGCTCTGGAGAGTATGAAGGAGTGCCAGCTGTTCCTGCAAATGCTTCTTTTCTCTCCTTCAAGCCTTTTATCTGATTGCCCACCCCCAGCCTAATCTTGCTCACTACATCCTCCAGAGGTAGTGGTACGTGGAGAGACATTAACTGCAGCAGAAATCAACCCCCACGGGTTCTTGCTTGTTCAACTGTCTTCTGTCTCTCTTGACATCACATGGCAAGGGATGGGCCAAAGGGGCCCAATCCCCTACATCCCCCAGAGAGAAAGAGAGAGTGGGTGAGGATGAGCAAGTAAATAGGTGCTCATCCCCTTGTACTGCCAGGATAGACAAAATAAGCAGTTATTATGCCCATGGTTCAGATGTGCTAAATGTTCAGCCACACAGGCTTGCTCTGTGAGGGGTTTGTCAGCATAAAACTACGACTGAAATCCTGTTAGCATAGACAGTCGCAACTAGAGTAGGCCCAATAAATCAATTGTGTTTATGAAGGAGTGGGCTCACCAAATCTCCACTGATTGAAATGGCCTACTCTAGTTGCAACTTACTGTGCTAAGCAACAGGATTCCAGCTTATAAGTATGTTATGCAGTAGAGGGATTGTAAAAGATCATAGAAGATACCTGAATTAATTGAAACTAGCTTAGGGAGGAAAGCTTTTCTGTCAGCTGCTCAGGGCTCCTTTCCTTTCCTCTAGTTCTGCATGTGTCTAGGCAAGATGCACAGTAGAGAAGAATGTTTTCATGTTCTGGTGGTTCCACTGTATAATCGGATCCTTACATACATACATACATACGTACGTATGTACGTACGTACGTACGCTTGCTTGCTTGCTTGCTTGCTTGCTTATTTATTTATTTATTTATTTATTTATTTATT